CACTCTTTCATAAACAATTTCTATACAACTCATTAACATAATACTGCATGCACAATTCTCTATAGTGGTACCTAAAGAAACCTTCACCATAACCCAAATGTCATTAACCTTCTCTACAACAGACTTCCCTCCCCCTCTTTTTTTTTTTTTAAAAAAAAACAGACTTCCAGGTAGTCTTTCATTCCTTCCTCCAACCCCAAATTTTATTTTTTCAAGTTCAAGTAAAGACAACACCTCAATCAGTCCTAATAACTGGTTCAAAGTCTAGTATTTTATGACCTTTGTAGCATGACTATGAGCATCATAGGATAGTTCTTAAGCCTAATACAGAAGAACTTATGTAAACAGACATTCATGTCATGTTGTAGACTGATAAGAGCAAAATACTTAGTTATAGATGACAGACATCAATTTGATACAAAAAAAAAAAAATCAAACTTTGAAAGTGTTCTTTAACATGTCAGTCTACCTATAGGCTGCATCTTGACATAGAGAAACATTTTAACCATTTTAGAACCAGCTCAATTGACACAAGTTATCTTGCCTAGGTAATTCTATAACACATAAACTTATTTTGATAAATTCTTTCATTTTATATTGCCATAGACTTCTTCAATGCAACAGTATCCTAAACTAAAAGACAGGATTTAACAGAGAAGAAAAATCAATCAGTACTGCAGGAGTACAAATTTACTCAAATTTAAGCAAGCGTTGTATGCTTTTTAAACTGTCAGAGCAATCTTCTTTCCCACCTAACCTAGACACCAGCTTCAAATAAGGCTTTGCCAGGAAGGTTTCCCTATTCAGAGACAGCTGCAAGACAGCAGTCTGCAATAAAACCTCAAAAAAGGTGATTTCCTGGGATCTGTAAAATGTTGTATGGACTACGCCTTACCTAAGTTGCTACTACAAGATCCTGGAAAATTAACAGAAGGTTCTAAAAGTCCATATGGCTTTACTAAGACCCAAAACAACAGACATATGTAATACAGTCGTGGGTATTTGTGTAGAAAGAATATTTCTAAGGAAATATACAACATTAACTTGTACAATAAATTGTATCTGAATCCCTAAACCACTCATCTTGAATCTTAACATTATTTTCTCAGATTTAAGCAGTGCACTTTTTTTCCTTTAAATCTATTTAGAGTGCTTCTACAATTATCTTCTAGGACAGTGATAATTAACTGCTTTCAAGTCACTCCACAAGCTACCCCACGCCTATCTATCATCTCTCATTCAGCGCTGGAAGGTCACATTCCAACTTTTCTTGGCTTATGTTACATTTTCCTTCATCCCATTAGATATTTTTCTTGCAAAGATTTTTGTTTTCCTTTCACATTACTCCTCCAGTCTGGGAGGACGCCTGAGTAAGTATTATCTTCATGGCTGTCTTTCGAAGCATTCCGCAGAACTCTTCTGCCATGAAGCTAACCGAGAAAGAAAATAGTCTAAGCTACTGAAATGCTGACCATATAGGAAAAGCATGCTGACCAGCACAGCCTCATTGTAAATGGGATTCACCATACTTGCATATAAGTCTTTTTGCAAAGTAAAACTTCTGTAGCAAGAAGAGTAATTTCCAACCTGTATTTCTGCAGTGGCCATTCGAACAGGATTCTACCCCACTGCTAGGCCTCTTAACAGTTCAGGAATTATTATTAACAAGGAATTAATAACACAGGAAAGAAAAGCCACCGGGAATAATTAGGTGAGAATTTACATTTCGATCCACAGTGACACTAAAAACACCCAGTGATGTGAAACGGACAGGTGCAACGTTAAGCACTGTTCTCATTCGGTGGAGTTCCAGGAGGGAAGGAGAGATGCATGCCAAAGTTCAAATGCCTCTGCTCTGCCAGACGCTCCCGCCACGTCAGGCTGTGGGACACGAAGGGAGGCACAGCGCCGAGCGCCCAAAACCAGCGCTTTGCCACTCTCTGATACAAATTCCGAC